TCAAAGGCCTCTTTTAGAATCATTTGGGGGGGGGGGGGTTTCTCCTGTGTAATTAGACGTAAGGCAAAAGGCAGGCCAGTGATGACTTGCATATCTGCCAAGTAGAATTCCTCATTGATGGGTCATGAGGTAGGAACAACACCCCTCAATAAACTTGAGAAAATGGGGTGTGTTTCAGCTCAAAGCTGGCTTCTCCTTCCATGCTACCTTCTCCACTATACCAGGGACCAATACCAACATCAGACATTTGGCTTTGTGCAGGTTTCGCTTGCTCCTGCTGTATATTCCTTACCTGCAGGGATCGAGAAAGCACTAAGGCACTGCAGCCTTCAAGCATCTCATCACTCAGTTGGATCTATAGACCCAAGTTAGGAACCCAGACTCCTTTAGAGGAGAATGGGATCTACAAAAGCCAGCACGCTGAGCACACCCTGAGAGTCCGAACCACCGAGTTACTAAGGAAAGAGTATCTATTCAGCATTTCCTACTGGCACGTGAATTGTCCTCCTGCAATAGGCTGATAGGTTGAAAGCTAATCAGAGGAGAGCAGGGATTCATGATGACAAAGGCACTGAACTGATCTGCAGTCCCTGGATCTGCTTTAGACACTGTGTGACCCTGGACACTTCGCTTTGGACTTGTCAGAAACCTCTGTCCTTACAGCTATGTCCGCAGAGCCACCTCTAGTGAAGATATGTAGGGGGTTTTCTGCCCACATAGCTTCACCACCTTTCTGAATAACCTGGGCAAACTGACAGAAGTCCTCTTCTCTTAGGGGGTTTTGCCAGCATTGGTATGTCAGCTAGGTGGTGGGATTTTTTTCAGAGCCTTGGCTAATGAAATTATGAGAACAAAACTTGGAAGAGTAGATCTGATTTGGTCTGTCTGCTTCAGCTCCTCATCTCGAAAATAGAGATTATTTTTAAAAAATGTAACTGTAATCTCTTTAGGGTGGAGGTTGCCTCTTCCTATGTGTGTGGACAATGCCTAGAACATACGGCATACATATTTTATTTATAAAATATATAGCAATGCATCCCTTCAGAGTCCAGCGCAAGGGGAATAATACAGAGAATACAAACTTGATCAATTAGCAGCTTCCCTGTAAGTGTTTGTTTGCCCGGTAGGGTATTTTTGCTTCAGTAATATTTACTGAATCTCCTTTTTCATGTTCTAATTTAAACTTTAAGATGGTCTTTAAAGCTGAGTAACCTAATACACCCATTAATGCCCAAATTTGTATTTGAAGAGCTGTGGTTAAGCAAAAAGTGTCCAGAAGTTCAAGGTAAACTCATGACCATAACTGGTGAGACTATGTTCCTTTCATGCAGCTACTTATCAGATGGGCCAACTCAATGGAAAACTCAATTATTTTTTGGTGAAAGAAATACAAGCTGATGCGATCCACATTTAATAAAGAGATATGATGAGTAGCAAGATTAATTCAAGTCACTGGGAGATGGAATGACTCAGGGGTTTGATAATGTGCACCATCTTTCATCCCTGGGTCAGAAGTTCAAATCCACCCCAGTCGGGCATTAAGCCAAATTTAGTATCTAACAGCCATGTGGTGACTCCTGTAAAAGGAGTTCATGCTCTGTTTCTATAAGCAGACAGGGTCCCACATCAAAATTAAGAGACAAGTTTTACCAGTCTCTGCAGGCAAGGCAGTAGTCTGAGACTGCCTGGACATGGAGTTATCATTATGGGAAGTGGCCAAGGTAAGCAAAATGTCAGGCTGCATAGACAAGATTGTCCACATGCTGTCCTTGAAACATGGCATCTTAACTGGATTTATGGAGGACTCCAGTCCCCAGAGTTGTCAATCCTGCATTTTTGTGACCATTCAAGTCTACTGAAAGCATTTCAATGTGTGAAGTCATAACCCAAATTATTTTTCTGTCTAAATATAGAGAGATGGGCTTGAACTAAGACCTGGATCTAAAGAACCCCATATTTCATGACATTTGGATCCAGATTTAAACATTGGCTCTGACTCTACCATTAAATCAGCATGTGGAAGTCTACCTGCATGTATGAGTCCACCTTATGTCAACTTACAGGAGTGCCAGGTTGTTTTATGATCAAAGCAAGGCTCTTTGGAAGAGGTCAGGGGAAAGGACATACATTTACGATTTGGCCATTAAATCAGCATGTGGCAATCTACCTGCATGTATGAGTCCACCTTGTGTCAACTTTCAGGAGCGGGGTCTTTTCAGTCATGCCCGTCTCTGAATCTTTATGAATATTTTCATCTAAAATGGCTCCAGAATAGCATTCTCTGTGTTTCTTGCGTGAGGAAAAGCTTGAACATGATCTCAGTGCACCCTAAGGCTCAGAAGCCAGGCAACAGCTAAAAACATCCCAAGTTTATTACCAAGCTCAAGATTGTCAAGGCTTCACGATTCTGGGGTACAGTTTGAGCCCTGGCGCCAGGGCCATGCCCAGTTGTCCTTGCAATTCTGATCGAAAGGGCAGGGCTTTCATCTGAAAAGTGCAAAGGTAACTTGAACAGATGAGCTCCTGTCTTAGTGTCTGTGGGTGCCTGATCATTATTTCTGCAAAACCCAGAGAATAGTTCTCAGTTCAACCTTCAAAAATTAGCATGAGGGGGAGGATGACAGCTGAGGTATGGCTTAAAAGTTGGTGAAATGTGATAGAATGACAGCTCTTAGGAATAAAAGAGCAGGCCCAGTGCAGGCAACAATGTTGTAAGCTTGTCCAGCCCACGCAGCCAGTGCTCCTCAGCTTCAACCTCTGGCCCCTCAACAGCTCGTGGTCCTTGCCCTGAAATCCCAAACCTATTCTTCCTTCCAAGCTCCCCCTCCCTTGATTTCTACTTGTCCAGCACAATGAGCAGAATAAGCTTTCCAACCATTTTAACTAATACTTTCCCCAGTGGGCCAGTTGATAGGGAGAGAGGACAAAGGAACAGGGGGAAAGCCATCTTATGTACAGGGGGAGTTAATCCCTCTTGACAGATGCTACTAAAATCATTTCTGCCAGAGACCACTTTCTCTCTGGCTTAGACATTTCCAAAGGCAAAAGTCACAACGGCTCATCAGTCTCCACCAAGCTGAGGGGCATGTCGGGTATTAGCAGCCATGTCTCCAAGGGAATGAGACATGTCCTAAAACTGCTAATTACCAACTTCAAATCCTCTTGTCCACTCATGGAAAGA